GGCTCAATCGGATCCTCCTGCCTCAGCCTCCCGCAGTACTGGGACTACAGGCAGGAGCCACCATGCCCGGCTGATTTTTATATTATATATATTAGTTGGCCATTAATTTCTTCTATTTTATGGTAGAGACCCGGTCTCGCTCAGGCTGGTTTGAACTCCTGACCTGGAGCGATCCTCCTGCCTCGGCCTCCCAGAGTGCTAGGTTACAGGCGTGAGCCACCTCGCCTGGCTTCTTTAATTTTAAAGCAAACAGTTGTCTGCAGTGAACTAATTGTTCTGCACCTAGTATTTTTTTTTTTTTTGTTGGGGAGACAGAGTCTCCCTTTGTTGCCCAGGCTAGAGTGAGTGCCATGGCGTCAGCCTCACTCACAGCAACCTCAGACTCCTGGGCTCAACAATCTCCTGCTCAGCTCCCGAGTAGCTGGGACTGCAGGCATGCGCCACCATGCCCGGCTCATTTTTCTCATATATTAGTTGGCCAGTTATTTCTTCTATTTATAGTAGAGACGGGGTCTCGCTCTTGTTCAGGCTGGTTTCGAACTCCTGACCTCGAGCAATCTGCCCGCCTTGGCCTCCAGAGTGCTAGGATGACAGGCATGAGCCACCACGCCAGCCTGCACCTAGTATTTTTGGACAGAAACACGATTCCATTCCAAAAGAGTTCTCTTAGGTTTATTCAATGTTTGTGACAACTTTCACTAAGGAAGTGCAGATTTTAGTAAATAAGGTGATGTTTTGTTTCCCAGTCCAAAGAACTGGCAAGGGGGATTTCGTTGTAAATTGTCTTCTAAGCTTCCAAAGGGTCTCTGTTTTTTCAGGAGCTAGTTGGTACAATAAAATGATTTCTATTCAAATGCACGAGAAAAAGTATTTTGGTTAGCTGCATAGTGCGATAGGCAGATTCTAAAAGTGATAATTTTGAAGGTAACGAATCTTTAAATCTGCACCTGGTACCGTTTTAACTAGCTGGATTTACTCAGACCAATTCAAACTTGGAAGGCATAAAAATATACTAACGCAAAGTCTGGAAGACATGATTTATTTTTCCTTTTTGATTCAGAAGGAAGTTACATGACTAGGAAATTACCAATATTATTACTGCTGGTGTTTAGGAAAGTTTGCCGATTGAATGGAATTAGTGCTAAGATACATACCCTAGGCGCTGGTTTTTGAATGAAGTTTAAAAATGTGAGCGTGTTTGTGAGCTCTCGCATTTTCTTTTTTTTGAGACAGAGTCTCACTGTGTCGCCAGGCTAGAGTGAGTGCCATGGGTCAGCCTCGCTCACGCAACCTCCAACTCCTGAGGTCAGGCGATCCTCCTCCTCAGCCTCCCGAGTAGCTGGGACTACAGGCATGCGCCACATGCCAGCTAATTTATTTTAGCCCCGCCCCGCCCCTGTTTTCCTGTGGTGCCAATCAAGAAGAGCAGACGCGCCCGCCCGCTCTCCACTCCCACCGCTCTGCTGCCCGCCAACCGCAGAGCCGACGACGGGGACGCGGCCGACGTCAGCGCAGCTCAGCGCGTCGGTTGCCGTCGCCGCCGCCGCCGCCGCCGCCGCGGGACTCGGGAGGCGAAGGACGGACGTCGCGAGCGAGCGCGCGCGGACAACATGGACGTCAACCTCGCCCCGCTGCGCGCCTGGGACGACTTCTTCCCGGGCTCCGACCGCTTCGCCCGGCCGGACTTCAGGGACATCTCCAAGTGGAACAACCGCGTGGTGAGCAACCTGCTCTACTACCAGACCAACTACCTGGTGGTGGCCGCCATGATGGTCTCCGTCGTGGGGTGAGTACGAGGTAACCCCCCACCCTCCAGCCGGGCCGGGGGCGCGCGTGCGCGTGCGCGCGGGGGGCGGCCCGGGGGGCGCAGGCCCGATGACGTGTACGCTCGGCGCCGGCCGGGCCTGGGGGAAAACTTGTCGCAGGGCGAGGCCGTCTCTTCCTGCGCCGGGGCTGAGACGTCGGGGGGCCCCTGGGGACACGGAATGGGGGGGATTTTGCCAGCTTTGGGGCAGGAAAATGACTTTTTTTTCCCCCACCCCTGCGCGCTCTCGCTGCAGGGAGGAGAGGTTTGCAGAGCCCTCGTCTTTCAGGGAAAAAGAAAAAGAGGGGAACGTGGTGCGACCCTGTCTGTCCTTGGGGGCAGCGGTGGGGACGTCCCCGGGGGTCGCAAAAGGGCGTCGTCGGAGGGGCCGGGCGCCTTTTGTGGGTGTCGCTGCCTGGTGCCCGTGCCACGCCGCACGGGGAGACCGAGGCAGGGAGCAGGAGGGCGGCTGTCCGCTGGTGTCGCAGGTGCCATAGCGAGGGGACAGACGCCCTTCCTGCTACCAAGGGCCCTTCTCTGTCTGGCTCTTTCCTCCAGGAGGTGCCAGGCCCAGCCAGCCTCCTTCTCTCTCTCTGCCTTGGTTCCCTCGCCCACCGGGGCTTTTGCAGGGCCTGGTGCTTGGAAGCGTCCTGTGTTAATTAGGGTTGCACACACCCACAGCCCTGCTCCCCCAGAAACCGCCTTTCCTTTTGGAGGTTCACCCTTGGCAGACAAGGGGTGTGTCACTTTGGCAGGGTGGTGGTGATATTCTCCATCTGGCTGGTGATGGTCTCTCCTACATGACTTTACTGGAAAAGCCACCCTACCTCCCAAGGACTGCCTTGGCTTATTTTTTAAAGACAGAGTCTCACTTTGCCACCCACCCACCCTCAGACTTTATAAAGGACTGCCTTGGCTTTTTTTCTTTTCTTTTCTTTTCTTTTTTTTGAGACAGAGTCTCGCTTTGTTGCCCAGGCTGGAGTGAGTGCTTTGGCGTTAACCTGGCTCACAGCAACCTCAATCTCCTGGGCTCAAGCGATCCTCCTGCCTCAGCCTCCTCCTGAGTTGCTGGAACTACAGGCATGTGCCGCCATGCCCGGCTAAATTTTTTTTTCTATATATATTAGTTGGCCAATTAATTTATTTCTAGTTTTAGTAGAGGCAGGGTCTCGCACTTGTTCAGGCTGGTTTTGAACTCCTGACCTCATGCAATCCGCCCGCCTCGGCCTCCCAGAGTGCTAGGATTACAGGCGTGAGCCACCGCGCCCGGCCTCTTTTCTTTTTTTTGAGACAGAGTCTTGCTTTGTTGCCCAGGCTGGAGTGAGTGCTTTGGCGTTAACCTGGCTCACAGCAACCTCAATCTCCTGGGCTCAAGCGATCCTCCTGCCTCAGCCTCCTCCTGAGTTGCTGGAACTACAGGCATGTGCCGCCATGCCCGGCTAAATTTTTTTTTCTATATATATTAGTTGGCCAATTAATTTATTTCTAGTTTTAGTAGAGGCAGGTCATCAGCATGTGATTCAGGGCTAGGTTTATGAACAGAACACTACAAAGCAATACGCCCGGCATCGTCTCCAGAGAGCTAGGATTACAGGTGAGCCACCATGCCCGCTGCCTTGCTTTTTTAAAGAAGTGACTAGGCCGGGCATGGTGGCTGACGCCTGTAATCCTAGCTCTCTGGGAGGCCAAGAAGGGGAGATCACTCAAGGTCAGGAGTTTGAAACCAGCCTGAGCAAGAACGAGACCCCGGTCTCCACTAAAAAAAATTAGAAAGAAATTAATTGGCCAACTAAAAATATACAGAAAAAATGAGCCAGGCATGGTGGCACATGCCTGTAGTCCCAGCTACTGGGGAGGCTGAGGCAGGAGGATGGCTTGAGCCCGGGAGTTGAAGGTTGCTGTGAGCTAGGCTGATGCCACGGCACTCTAGCCCAGACAACAGAGTGAGACTCTGTCTCCAAAAAATAAAAACTAAATAAGGAAGTGGGTGACGTTCCTATTTCAACACAAACACAGAGGGGAAAGAGCCTGGCTGGCTTGGGAGGAAAAGGAGAAATTCAGACCTGGAGGTGTGGGAAAGGGTGGGGAGGGTGGTTTCCTAAGCCGGCTTGCTGTGAGTTGGCTTATGCATGCAGCAGCCTCTCTGTGCCAGGCCCCCCCGCCAAGCTGGGCACACACCGAGATGAATCAGACTTGAATTCGGGCCCAGGGGCTCATGGTGGCAGTTGTTCAGAAGCTAAAGGAGCAAACACACAGCACTGAGGAGAAGAGGAGCTCACTTCCCGGGTGTGGTTCCCAGCAGTCACCCCCAGGCAGATAGTGGAAGCCCACGTTTAGGACTGTCACTGTAGGCAGTAGCAGGGGCTCTCGTTCTGCGTCACTTAAAGAATGGCAGGCTCTGGGAATGGCTCGGCTGTGAGGTTTCCGTGCTGGAGTGGCAGCCAGTGTACAATTGTTCAGGGTGGGGCCAGTGGAGGCCTGAGGCAGCCACTTCTGAACCTGCCCCGAGCTCTGGCTTGAGTCTTCTTTCCTGGAATACTGAAACGTTTCTTTAGCACAGAATAAATAGTTAATAGGTTTGTATCCATTGTTTTGCTTTTTTTTTTTTTCCTTTTCTCTTTGCAAAGAAGCAGGAGCAGGAGGACATCTTATCTGATGATCCAGTTATGTGGGTATTTTCTCAATGTAAAGTAACTACAAAAACTTAGATGTGGGCAAGGTTTGACGCAGACCAATCAAATGTACAGGAAAAAAGTTATTTCTTTTTTCAAGAGGCGTACTGCTGGCCGGGCGTGGTGGCTCACGCCTGTAATCCTAGCACTGTGGGAAGCCGAGGCGGGCGGATTGCTCGAGGTCAGGAGTTCGAGACCAGCCTGAGCAAGACCCCCCGTCTCTAATAAAAATAGAAAGAAATTCATTGACCAACTAAAAATATATATACAAAAATGAGCCGGGCATGGTGGTGCATGCCTGTAGTCCCAGCTACTCGGGAGGCTGAGGCAGGAGGATGGCTTGAGCCCAGGAGTTTGAGGTTGAGGCACACTGCTCAGACCAGACACAAGTTTGGGAAGCCTTGCTGGCTTGATGGCATCGAGTTTTCCCTGTGAGGGTCCAGGACTAGCCCCTGACTAAATGTAGTTTCCTCCATATGGTGTCTTACGCCACTAGCTCAGGGAGTTTTATTCTCTTTTCAAATAGATGTTGATTGTGAAATTTTTGAAGGAAAAAGCAAAAAAGTAGCCATGAAGTTTTAAAAAAATTATTATTTTTAAAAACTTATTGATACACAAGATACAGGCTAGTAGTCAGAGTTGTTTTGAGAATTACTTGCGTACAAAATGTGAAATTTCCTTGACACTCCAGCGAAAGCTTGGTGTATAACGTGTGTTCGACGCACCTGCAAATGTAGTGTGTAGTTTTCTCTACAAATAGCTATCTTTCCTTTCTTTATAATTTAATGATAATAAACATGAGCATTCATTGAGTGTTTTTTTTTTTCCTAGCGTGGCAGTCAATGCGTTAAACCTGACGCTCAGAGAGGTTAATGACTTTGGTCAAAGTCACAAACCTGGTCTTGTGCTCATAACTACTGTGCGGTTGTACTGTGAGTCATGACTTAGAAACCAGATCTCTTCGGGGTCAGGGAGCTTAGTTGATCCTGGGACATTTCTCATTCTAAACAGAACTATGATCTTTTGGTGGTGCTAGCAGATGGGTAGCTCAAAGTAGTGCTGGAGGCTGCTTATCTACATCCTCCCCTGGCTTCTTCTTCTTCTTCTTTTTTTTTTTTTTTTTTGAGACAGAGTCTCGCTCTGTTGCCCAAGCTAGAGTGAGTGCCGTGGCGTCAGCCTCGCTCACAGCAACCTCCAACTCCTGGGCTCAAGCGATCCTCCTGCCTCAGCCTCCCGAGTAGCTGGGACTACAGCATGCGCCACTTGCGCCGCTAATTTTTGTATATATATTTTTGTTGGTCAATGAATTTTTCTTCTATTTTTGTAGAGACGGGGTCTCGCTCAGGCTGTTAGGAATCCTGACCTCGAGCAATCCGCCCAGCTCGCCTCCCAGAGTGCTGGGATGACAGGCGTGAGCCACGGCGCCCGGCCTTAATAGCCCTTCTTAAAGATAGTTTTCATGTCTTCTGGCTCTTCAAGTTGTATAAGGTGTGGTTAAGAATCTAGCCACTAGGGCCAGATTAAATGAGTTTGAATGCCAACTGCCAGTCACCAGCTGTGTGACCTTGGACAAGTCACTTGAACCACCCTGTGCCTCAGCTTCCTCTTCCCGTAACGTGAGACTCATCATGGTACCTACGTCGTGGTCACGGGGCCTCCGTGAAAATTAATGAATCCACATAGGCTAGGCTTTTAGGACACTGCCAGCCTCCTAGCTTTTGCTTCCTAAGAGTTGCTTGTTATTTTAATCATTGTTGGAGTTATTAAAAAGATTACGGAGAAACCCAGGCACCGTCTTTATACGAGCGATGCTGTCCATCCAAATCCCAGTCCCCAAATTCTCCACCAAGACTCAGCTTTGGTACCACCTCTTTGAGGAAACGTTCTCCCCTTGTCCCTCGCTCCCTTGTGTTAACTGGGTCCCACACCTTTGCCCAGATCTTTCCTGTTACTTGCCCCATGGGCTTTTTTTTTTTTCATTTTATTTTTTTTTTTCAAAAAGTACAGAATGAGAAAATGCATAGGCTTTTGAACCATCAACTTATCTCCACTCTGGACTGAAGACTCCTTGAGGCCAGAGACTGTAGGGTTTGTTTGTGACTTTTTTTTTTTTTCCTTGTTTCTTTTGTTACTGTGATTTTTGATTCTTTGTATCCCAGAGGCCTGCTGTGCAGCGGATACTTAGCTGGTGAGTGCAAAGAGTCACTAAGTGACAGGTCTCAGCACAGCCACAGGGCAGCTTTTAACCTGCTGCACAGGACAAATTATTTTGAAGCTTATAGCAGCATGCCAGCATATAGCTACAAATAC